TTCTCTCTAGCTTTCTCATTGGGAAGGTTGAGATTAAATTAATTAACTACAGTATTAACGTAGTAACAGTTTATTGCCATACTATTTATTGTCAGATACTGTTCATTGGCATCACTTTAGTTTTCTTGAATATTGTGCTAAAATAGTGATAAGTGGTTGATATGGAAAAGTTCAAATCATTATTCAATTCTTGAGTATATGCTGCATTTTCTACATTGACTTTATATATTTAGGAATGTATTATATTAGATTTATACTTAATATGAAATTTCATGAAGTAAAGATTTAATGAGGTTCTCTATTTTCCCAAACCCAGTGCCTACGTGGCCTCTTAGACATGCCTTGTTGAAAATGTTACCCAGTTTCTCTCCTCTTTAGTGAAGAAATTTCATTGCAAAGCTAGTATGGTCTGGTTCAGTGAAAGGTATGTAGCTGAATTATGTTTCCTTAAAATTCATATGTTGAAGCTCTAACCTCTAGTTACTTGAGAATGTGATTGTATTTGGAGATAGATCCTTTATGGGGGAGATTAAGTTAAAATGAGGCTTGGGGGGGTCCTAATCCAATCTGATTTGGAGTCCTTATAAGAAGAGGAAATTTGAATACAAAAGAGACACCAAGGGTGAACTGGCACAGAGAAAAGATCATGTAAGGACACAGGGAAAAAGCAGCCATCTGCAAACCAAGGAGAGGCCTCAGGGGAAATCAGACCTGCCAAAACCTTGATCTTAGACTTCTGACCTCCAGAACTGTGAGACAATAAATTTTTGTTAAGCTTTCTTGTCTGTGGTATTCTGTTATGGCAGCCCTAGCTAAGCAATGTATTTAGAGATAGACAGACAGGCAGATAGATTGTAAAAAGAAGATGGATATCCAAGCCTTCCACCTAGTAGTTTTATAAAAAAGGCTGACGGTAGATTAGATTACTACTACTACCACTACTACTACTACTACTACTACTAATAATAATAATTAGGTCATTAAATATGAAACGTCCGATTTCAAATCGAAAGTGTAGTTTATTATCTCTCAAACAAGAAGCAGTACAATTAATGAAAGTATGCACCTTAAGATATTGACGCAGTTTTGCCATCTTAATG